GGTCCGCATTGTTGCATGGAACCTGCTTTGGAAGACGAGCTCTGAGAATGGCCTCGCAGCTGTGGCCGGCCGGCCTCCAGCAGTGCCAAGATACACGCGCTCCTTGTGCTGGGATACACAGCTATTCACCAAGGCAGCTCCCTAACAGCCACCGAAGAGAAGAAGTCAGTGTTAGTGCTCCTTGCTAGGCAATGCTAATGAGACTCATTTATGATGGAAATTATTTAGCATTCAGTAGTTTTTATTGTACATTCTCTTCCCTGAATCCTTTATTATGTATGTTGACCTTTTTAGTGGTCAGTGTTAATTAATTGCCCTTGCGAAAGCTTGTCCTTGGCACAGGCCTTCATCAAGAGTCAGCACGTATTTATCAGAGCAGCCAAAGAACGGCCTCTCCTCCTCTAATTGTAGCTCAGTTTTGAAGTTGATTACAGCTGGCTATTTATAGGCTCATAATGAAGCTTTGGTTTTGACAGAGTAACTTCTGTGCTAAGCAGAAAGTTTGCTGAAACGATCTCAGTCTGGTCTGCACATTTCAGCGTCTAAACACCAAGTGAGACTTTATTTGGCTCCATTATATGAAGTCAGGCTGCCGAGCTGGCAGTTGGACATGGCTCAGTCTCCCAGTTTGAAAGTGGGAGGACAGTAACCTTTGGCAAGCGCCTGAGTAGGAAGCACAAAAGGTGGGTCTGGTGAGCTGCAGCTCTAAGTACCCCTGAAAGATGTCGTCCTGCCCTGTGTCCTGCAGTCTGTAACTGCGGTCCCCTGATCGTGCTGTAGCGTTAGGTACAGTGCTGGAGACCTGCTCCAGCCGGGGTGGGTTGAGACTTGATGGAAGGCGACGCAGGCGAGAAGAAATTAGGCAGAGACCTCTATGCTCTTTAGCATGTTCTCAGTCGACTACAGTCAGAGCAAGCTCAAGACTGCAGCATCTGTGGCTAGGAGACATACGTATTTATCTATTTATCGAGGGATGTTTACGGAAGTAGGAGGGGTGAGGAGGAAGTAAAAGATTTTACTCTAAAAATATGAGGTATTCAAAGTATGGAAACAACAATCATAAAACATGATGTCTGTTTTGTTTGATTAGGTATAAACGGTCACAGTCCTCAGGGCGAGGAAGTCCATCTGTCCAGTGCATTTTCTTCTTAAATCTTGATTACCGGATAAGGCCTTTTTGGATGAGGGGGTTTTTGTAGCTCAGGAGACAACACAGAATATTTTATTAGCAGTTTTTCAGAGCACTCAGAGGAGAAACCTTTTGTAGTTAGGGACTATCTGTTGCCTGCCTGAATTTAGATAAGAACTCTCAGTTAAGATAGGTAATCTCCCCCTGGCACCTTTAGTTTTGTTCATCCTGTCGCCGTCAGCCAGACCTGCCCTTCCTCTGTTAACTCACGAATTCCTGTATCTTGTTTGCTGAATTCCTGTCAATCAGCGAATTCTTGTGCCCCATCTTTGAATCCCTGTCATGGAAACAAATGCCTAACTCGGCCTAACATAAGCTAACTCGGCCTTCAGCCCTAACAAGGGGTGTTTACACAAAATTAGTCTAAACTAACTTTAGTCTACATATGCTAATCATGCTAATTCGGCTTATGCTAACTCAACCTAACATGCTAATTCTGTCTAATACAGGCAGGTGGGATGAGTCTCACGAAGTAGTCCCCCCTCCCCCTCCATCGCAGCCACCTTAGGGGTCCGCATTCTTTCAGGATTATTAGTTGGTTTTATTGTAAAAGTTATAGTAAGGCTGGGGGTGTTATTTTATCCTTACAGGGTACCGTAGCAGAGAGATTGAAAGCAAAAACAGCATAAACCAGCACAACAAAAGCAGTTGAAAGCCTGAGCTCGCACCTGTAGTCTTGTTAGCAGCTCTTCTCACCCAAGCCCTGCTTAGACATGAGAGGCAGCTCTTTAGGCTCTGCCTGTGTTGGCTGCATGGCCTCCGCCAGTACAGTTCATTTAGAACAAGGGGGGGGGGGTGTCAGCAGGCGATGTGGTGGTTAAAGGCAGCAGACTTCCACATGGGTGACTGTGGTTTGAGTCCTGGCCCCTGCGGCTTGAAAATCACACCAGGGGTGTGTGTGTGCATTTGTGCCTGAATCCCCAGAGGAGAATGAAGGAGAAAGGATTATGGCGTGGCCATCCCCATGGGAGGTAATTTCTCACTTTTCCATCCCTGTTGGTGAGCGCATGTGCCCTATGGCAAAAAAACAATAACAAAAACAAAAAAATCAAAACCGAACAAAACTCAACTAAGTGGGATTATCTTGGCATATACATATGGACCCAGTGGAATCCTCTAAGTGCTTAAAAGCAGAGAACTTTCTCTGGCTGGTGGCAGAGGGAAATCTGAGAGATTGATCAGTGGACTTGAAGACAGGGAGGAGTCATGTGACAGGGAATGACCATGGCCCTGGGTGTCAGCCAGCAGGCAAGCAGGGTCCTCAGTCCGAAAGCTGCGCTCCTCAGAAAGGCCTTCTTCCCCAGGGTCTCCAGGAAGAAGCAAGACCGTGGGGATGGAATCCCTTCCTGTCACGCCTGGAGTCCTGGTCCACAGGAAGTGGAGATGATGTGTGTTGGTTCCAACCACTAGGCTTGTGGAGATTTGTTACAAGCAACAGAAGTCTCATGTAGGTGGCACTTGCCATCCAGGGAGAGGAGAGGCCTCTGTCAGGGCTGGTGGCTTCTGAAGTCTGTGCTGACGGTGTAGCATGGGCCTTTGATTCAGCAGCTTCTGTGGCGTCTTCTGCTCATTTGTATCTTCTTTGTAGAAATATAGCTGCGCCGTGACTTTCAAGTTACCTTCACACAGTCCACACTAAGAAGTAGGTTTTGCATGGAAGACCAGTTTGTTCACACACACAGTTCCTCCCCAGAGACAATCCTTATCATGTCAGATATGTTGATATCTTTCATTCTGTCCTGTTTCATTTTTTTCTTAAGCCTAGGTCATGCTTCACTAAGTCGATGTCTTTATTTGTTGTCCAGGGGTTGGAAAGATGTTGTGGTTGGTGTGCTTCTGTAGTTCTGGTTTACTACTTGTACCGTCAGTCACGTTATATTTTCATGAATTTCTGCTTGGACGGAGTTGCTCAGGGTAGAGGGAGCACAGTGGCTCCAAAGTCAGTGTCCCTCAGCCGGTCACCTGGCCTCCCTCTGTGATGGTTTGAGAGGCAGTGTCACTAACGGCAATGGCGCTTCTCTCTGCACACCCGTTCCTGGGCGGATGCACCCTCCCCTTCTCCTAAGTGGATTGCTCACGCTTCCTTCCTGCACGTGTGACAGCAGTGCTGCCCCAGTAAGCTCCGAGGCGACGGGCACTATGTTGCCTCTGACGGTTCTGCACAAACTGGTTTTTGTAGGCATGTGAAGATGGATTCCTAAAAGAGTCATCAGGACAGGGTTATGTGCCTTGATATCTCTGAGAGCCTTTGCCATCTTCGGGGGTTTCACCATGTGCCCTCTTTCCAGCAGTACAAAAGCATGCCTGCTTGCCCACTCAGATGTTGATTAAATTCTTTTCTTTTTTGCTGATGATGGTGTCTCATTCTAGTTTTTAATTTTATCCCTCATTGTGAGAGAAGCTAAGCATCTTTTTATGTTTTAAGAGCCACCTGTGTGTGCTTTCCCATTTTTCCTATGAGGTCATTGATATGATGTGCTATAATTTGAGGTCAGTTGTAAACATGAGATACTTGCTTATTACCCTTCCTAGCCATTTTTTCTTTAAATTTTACCAGAGAGCACGTGCACTCGCCAGCGAGATCTAGAGGGAGGGAGAAAGTACCCACATGGAGCATGGTCATGCCACAAGCCCTTTTCCTCCATCTCTCCCTCCTTCTGGCATTCTGCGTATGCACGCACGTGTCCAGCTGCCAGGTCTGGGACTTGAACTGCACATCAGCCATGTGGGGTCCAGCCACTCTAACCATCAGGCCATAGGCTAACCTGCCTCTTACTCTCCTTTATCAAGTCTCTCTAAAGTTCCTCCCAGCTCAAAAAAAAAAAAAAAAAAAGTTATCCCAATGTGACAAGGTCATTCGTTGACTGTGTCTACTCTTGTAAGTCAGCTGGTCCAGTTCACTGTGGTGGGGGCCAGAGGCCCTGAGTGTTTAAAATAGCTTTGCAGGTAAATGAAAAGAAGGTCTGGTGGGCTCTGCAGCAGAGGAGGAGGCCGGTCAGTGACCTAGAAGGAGCAAGGAGAAGGAAGTGAAGTGGACAGAGCTGGGAAGGCTCCCTGGTTTCTGCAGTGAGAAAGTGGGGCGTGATGCGGGTGTTGCAGCGACTGCCCCCAGGGCAACACGTTCTCAGAAGGAAGCACAGAGAAGAAACGCCAGTTCTGCCAGGAGCGTATGGAAACATCTTCTTTTCCCGATATCTTCTTGGCAGTCTTGTTGAAATCATTTCAAACAGCGGCTCTGATAGGAAAGATAACCAGTAAGAGACTTTGAATAGCAAAGTAAAATTGTCTAGAAGTGCTTGGATAAAAAGAATGAAATCAGCTGGGATTTAGGCTTGGACAGAATCCAGAGGTTTGTTTTGGTTGAGCTAATTACAATATCTTAAGAAAAGGGGATTTTTACAGACATTTTTTTGCTAGTGAGATTGTTTAACATTCCTTTTCCTGATTAGAAAGTCTCTCCTTTGAGAACCAGCAAAGAACCTCAGGAACAGAGGACTTAGGCTTTCTCGACACATTTGAATGTTCTCATTATGAACACGTACACCTTTTATCAGTACTGCATGTCCTGTGTGCTCTGACCCTGTGAGAGAAAGTTTTGGTGTTCCATAGTCTCAAATAGTTCTTGACTACCTATCCACAGATAAGAAAAGAAAGTGCTGTTTGGTTTGTTTTACCTAGGCTTGGAGGGACCTAATTCACTGAGCAGTGGAAAATAGTCATTCTTCTATTTCCTACCCATTGCCATGGGTACGAGATGGTGTTACAGTCCCCTCGACTGTGTCTGAGCGCTGACTGGGGTGTGTCGTTGCAGGCTGGGAGTCCTCCATCAGCGTCAGCGCTGGCATCCGCCTTCTCTCGCACTTCCGTCACGCCATCCAACCAGGACATCTGCAGGTAACACTGCCTCCCAGGCTGTGCGGGCCGGTGCACATCTCAGAATTGAGCATCAGCGTCTGGGTCTCGGCTGACCTGCTTCTGGTCTAAACACGCAGCCTGACTGTAGCACTTTGCTTACCAAGTAACCAACCGCCCACAAGTCTCTTTTCTTCACTTTGATGTCTATTCTCTCTTAAAGTTGTTTTTACTTTCTGTGCTTTTATCCCACTGTTCTGCATGCAGTTCCAGTGCAGTGTTTTCTGAGTGTTGTCACCACAGTCCTGTGCAATCTGCTGTTGTCTTGAAAGCTCCTCAATGCCAGAGTTCTCTGACACAAGGGCTCACTGTGACGGTTATCTGTAAAGACACGTTTCAGGCGGCAAAGGGAAATTCCTTTGGTTCACATTGGGTCCAGGCCTTGAAGCCTGCTAAGAATCTCAAAGCCAGAAGAACCCTGAAGTGCTCCCAGTCCCTAAATGATGTGGGTGAGAAGGCCCAGGATACTTTGGAATGTTTCAACTATGTGGAAAGAACTTGTTCTGAAGGAAAATTGATGATCCCTCAAGATTCATGTCTTAGAATTAATAGATTTCACCATAAAGAAAAAAGAACGCTGAGTCGCAAAGCTCTTGGCAACTCTAAACGTTCTTGTGTTTCGTCGTCCTTTTCTGCCAATCATTTGACTGCCTCGGAAGGGGAAGCTGGCAAGGGGGGCACACATGTCCCACTTCTGGAGGAGAAGGCAGATGGCGAGGCGGTGCCCAGAAGCCGGCGGCTGCTCCGGTACCTGTTCTCACTCTCCCGGGGCTCGAGCACCAGCAGCCTGCACAGGTTCCATGAGCTGGAGAGCTGCAGCGCCCCCCTGCACCCCGCCACATCCTCCAGCGGGCTGGCAGGGAGCACGGGCTTCTGCTCCGACGACATGGGAGATGACGACGTCTTCGAGGACAGCACATCTGCCAAACTGAAGAGTAGGGTCCTGCGGGCGCCCCTCTGTTCAGCAGAAAAGGACAGCGACCTGGATTGCCCTTCTCCCCTCTCTGAAAGATGCCCCCCCATATCTCCCGTGTCGGCATCAGGGGATGCCTGCAGGTTGGTTTGTCAGGATCTGCCACTCAGCCACTCTGCTTGTACCCCTGGAGCCTCATCTTGCTTTAATATGTGAAGTTTCAGGAAACGAAGTAATAGGCAGTTGTAGCCAATTGTGAATTAATCGTTTTCTCCAGAAGATTGGAGTATTGATATCATTTCTGACATGGGTCCCAAAATAGTTTCACAGATGATAAAAGAAGAAGAAGCTACACATATTAAAGGCCAAGCTGACTCTTCTCAACTGAAAATAAGTAGACTTTGCATAACGAAATTGAAAGAAGAAAATAGTATCTCCAGCTCTCCAGCTTGGTGGCCCAGACTTAAAGCCCCGCTCGCCTCCTCACCTTTGAGCACCCCCCCACACACACACACACACCTCGAGACCTCTCTGCCACGTGTGTGGAGAGCAGCCCTTCCTTCCTCTTAACCTGGGAGGACTGGCTTTGCCCGCCAGCCCCTCTGTCCACTTCCTTGGTCAGCATTCCTGTCTGGCCTTCAGAGTCTTTCAGAGTTCATGTTCTGAGGCCACTCTGGAGCTTGCCCTCTTCTGACCTCTGCTGTATCCTCTCCTCAGTGCTAGCTGTTATTATTTCTAACAGTCAGGACCAGCCCCACCCCTCCCCGAGACAGCCCGAGAACCTGGCCAAGCCAAGCCTGGCTCCTTTCAGGAGGTGCCTCCTTGGCCTCCCACTGCCAGAAAGACCGCTCTGTTTCTCCTGAAGCCCAGAAGGTCTTAAGATCGGTAGCTGTATCTACTGCATGCTTTCTTGGAAATAATGAATGCTTTAAATTAATTCTCACGTGTGTCCGTGAGTGGGCCTGAAAAAAAGAAAGGAAATTTCAGCACTTTTAAGGGTGAGCATTTAGGTTCAGGAAGGGCATTGTGATCTGTCTCCTCCCTGAGGGAAGATGGAAATAAATGCATGGTGGTTGTGTGTGAAGGCGAGGTCAGTGACTATTGCTAAAAAGCAAATCATCTTTTTATGTCACTGTGTTATTTTTGGAAGATAAAGTCCAGGTTTTATTTTATGCAGAAAGTTTTCCTCTAATTATTTTACAATCTTGTGTTTGGGAAGATTATTCCACATTGCCTTAATTCATCTTTCAGTGAAGTTTGTCATTTCTTACATCATTTTCCCTCTCCGTTGCCAAATGCCACCCGGGCTTTCCGTATTGGTGCGGTAAGCTAGAACTTCTTAGTTTGTAGTCATGTTTTCATTTGTGTCTGTATGTCTTTGTGCTTGTAGTCACTTCAGCGGTGTTTGGTTCGGAAAGTTTTCTCTGGGAGGATTGACCTTCCACTGAAGTGTCACCTTCCCTGTCAGGCTGTCCTCACAATGACTGGCTGTCCTTCTGCCGTAGGATCTGCCACTGTGAAGGGGACGACGAGAGCCCTCTAATCACGCCGTGCCGCTGCACGGGGAGCCTGCACTTTGTGCACCAGGCCTGCCTACAGCAGTGGATCAAGAGCTCCGACACGCGCTGCTGTGAGCTCTGCAAGTACGAGTTCATCATGGAGACCAAGCTGAAGCCTCTGAGTAAAGTACGTGTGGGCAGGCTGCTCCCAGAAGGCTGGCCCTGCTTGGAGAGGACTCCTTGGGAGCGAGCTCTGGACCAGGAGCCTTCCCTTGCTTGTGCTCGTGTCCTGAACATGGCGCTGGTGCTGTTTCCACACTGCAGAGGCTGACGTTTCTGCTCCTGATTTCCCAGTGCTCTCCTCAGGAGGAGGCTCTTTCTGACCATTCCATTAGAGTGTTTCTTTTCCTTCAAACTATGACTGCTTGCTTGTCCTTGTCAGCCATCTGGCCCTGGACCACAGACTGTTTTGTGACATTTTGGCATGTAACTTTACATGTGTTACCTGTTCATGTCTTCCCTCTCCCATTAGGACTGTATTAGAGACTAATGTCTCTTCCTAGCAGCCAGCATAGCATAGAATACAGTCAGTTTATTTGTATATGCTGTAACAAGTATTTGCTAGGCGGGAGGATGGCAAAAAGAAAGGAACCGGGACCAGCAGTTAACGAAATGGCTATGTTGCTGGACTCCCATGTAGTCAACTGTGGTTTGAGGTCCAGGCCCGGTGGCTTAAACACATGCCAGGCGCGTGTGCGTGCGTGCCCAAGATCCCGAGAGGAGGATGGAGGAGAAGGGATTGCGGTGTGGCCATCCCCCCTGGGGGGTATTTCTCGCTTTCTGTCTCTCTGTCTCTCTGTCTTTCTAGCGGGCGCAGTGCCCTACAGCAAAAACCTCTCTCCCCACCCAACCCTCAAAAAAGAAAGGAACTACTAACGTTACATGAAATGCAGCCATCTCCAGGCCCCATATCCCTGTTCCTTCTGAGGGGAGCTTTGTCTAGGGCACTGATGACTTCTGGAAATGCTGATGTCTCTCTAGAGTATCTCTCTGTAGCTGCCCAGCACAGAAAGTTTTGTTTAGAGGAATGAAAGACAAGTTTCTCTCCCAAAACGTTAATGTATGGGGCCAGTAGGTGGCGTGGTGGTTAAAAGTGCCGGACTCCCACATGGCCAACCGTGGTTCAAGTCCTGGACCTAGTGGCTTCCTTTCTCACGCTCCTACTCTGTCTTTCTCTGGTCAAATTGGAAAATAATAATAATAATAATAAATTTAAAAAATTAAAACAATTCTTTTAAAAAAAGTTAATGTTCAAATTGCAAGGGAATCACATTATCAAATAATAGCACAAGATAATGCCATTTACGTGCTGATGGTGGTGTGGTGGAGCGCATCAGACTTTCAGAGAAGGAAATGCCCCCAGGGGCTGGAGCCCAGGGAAGGGGAGTGATGGTGGTGGTGTCACAGAGTGTTTGGGTGTTAGAGCAGTTCTTAGAGGATCACTAGGATTTGGAGGCAAAGTGAAAGGAGTTTAAACAGGCCAAGTTGTCAGCGGAGAAAAGTATACAACCTAAAGGTGAGGTTAGGGTTTCAGGGGATGCAAAAGGCTTGAGCTACACCTGTCATAGGAAAGAGTAGGAATGGGTGTGCCTAGCTCAGTGAGGCACTGACCCTGAGCTTTAGGTCGGAAGCCTCAGGGACTTGGCGATGTTGGAGAAGATAGCTACCGACTACTGAAAAAAAAGTTTTGTCCTAATAAAAGCCATATAATGTATGGGGTAGCTATTCTGTGCTGATCTCTTAAGTCTTTTGACACTGAAAATATAAATAATCCATGAAGCTCTGTTTTCATTTTATCCTGAGTAGAACCATCTAGAAAGAGACTATAACCAGGATTGGCAAAGGATTTGCAGAGTGTTTACACTGTGTTCTTTCTCTCTACCTTTATGTGTTTTCTTCTGATTCGGAAACCAGTAAATGAAAAAAAGAATCTGGCTATTTGGAATAAATTAATGAGCTCCTAGAGGAGATGGGACTGGCAGAGTCTGCTTGTACCAGGAGCCCTTAGCATCGATTTCAAGCTGTTGCTGCCAAAGTAGCTGAGGACCAAAGAGTGAGCGCCTTCTGCCATTCACCTTCACAATGTAGTGTGACCCATCTGCTAGTGTGTTGTGGCATCATCAATCCTCCTCTTCCGCTCGTCCATTCCAGTCAGCAAGTCAGGGAGGCTTAAAATGTAGCACCTGGGTCTCAGACCAACATGTTTTCATCAAGACTGAAGCCGTAGAATCCTTTGTCAGGCCATCTACTGTCCGCTTGTAAGAACAAGCAGACAGTGGGATTGCTAATGGTAGTTCAGCGCTCATCTCGATCCCAGCTTCTTCTCATCGCATAGAAGGTTGGCTGGACCTGGTACCTGGTTGAAGCCAAGTGGTTTAAAGAGAACAACTTTGGGGATTTGAGGAGATTCATCTAGTTTGGGGAAGGAGGAGGGAGCAAAGCCAGCCTTACCCATCTTGATGCTCTTGGCACCCTCCCATCCTGCTGTAGCCCTGCACTGTGAGCCTGAGCCTCATCCTCTGTGTGTTCCTTTCCAGTGGGAGAAGTTGCAGATGACAGCAAGTGAGCGCAGGAAGATCATGTGCTCAGTGACGTTCCACGTCATCGCCATTACCTGTGTGGTCTGGTCCTTGTACGTGCTCATCGACCGCACAGCTGAGGAGATCAAGCAGGGGCAGGCCACAGGTGAGTGCTCAGGCTGGAGCTGCACTCAGCACAGAGGTCCTAGGGAGCAGCCTGGGTCCTAGGCTCGGAGCCTTGTTCTAGTCAGACCATAGCACTGGGTTCCTGGAGGTGGGACATCAACATGGAGGCATTGAGCATCCTTTCTGGATTTTTCTCTTGCTGTGTTGGAGGTTTTTGGAACCCAGTGAGAAGAGATTAATGGTAGAACTTGAGAATTTCTATGAACAATCTTCTGGAAGAGCAGATACAAGATAGTGGATTCTCCTCTCTTCTATCTCTTGTTGATAAAGCAAGCTTTGTTTAATTAAGAATACATTGATGGTGGGGACTGGCATTTGACCTTGTGGTTAAGATACTGGACTCGCACATGGCTGATCATGGTTTGAGTCCCAGACCTAGTGGCTTGCTGTCTCACTTTCCCTCTCCCTCCCTCTATCTCTCTCTGGTCAGATTAAAAAATGATGATAATAAATAAATCTTAAAAAAAAAAAGGAATTCATTGGTGGGCTGTCCCATAGTGCAGTGGTTAGGTGCCATACAGAGTAAGCTGGATCTCACAAGGCCGACTAGAGTTTGAGTTCTGACCTCATGAGCTTCATGCTGGGTGTGTGTTTGCCCATGTGCCAGGGATCCTGATGGGATGGAGGATGGAAGGAGAAAAGATTGTGGCGTGAACAGGCCCCATTTGGGAGGAGGGGGTTCTCTCTATTTCTGTTTGTCTTTTATACGTGCTCTCTGGCATTATAAAAAGAAGAATCCATTGGCTATGGGATTTTCAGAAGTTGTGTTGTATTTACTTCAGATCTTAAATGAGGTCTACTGACAGGCTGACCAAGTTTTTCCCTTCCAGGAATCCTAGAGTGGCCCTTTTGGACTAAACTGGTGGTGGTGGCCATTGGCTTCACTGGAGGACTTCTTTTTATGTATGTTCAGTGCAAAGTGTATGTACAATTATGGAAGAGACTCAAAGCTTATAATAGAGTGATCTATGTTCAGAACTGTCCAGAAACAAGCAAAAAGAATATTTTTGAAAAATCTGCACTAACAGAGCCAAACTTTGAAAATAAAGATGGCCGTGGGATCTGTCATTCCGACACGAACTCTTCTTCTTGCACAGAACCCGAAGACCCTGAAGCAGACATCGTCCACGTCTGACAGTGTGCAGGGTGTGCTTCTGCTGGACGTCCACGAGAGCTGAAGGAGATTGTTCACTGCCACTGTGTACCTTTCTTATGTCCTTCAATAGCAGAGACCGGGCAGCGACTGTTTCTAACGACTTCTCTTTTTCTGAACCCTTCTTAACGAGTCTCCTGGAAAGCCCTCCCGTGGGCTGGGCATGGCTGATCCCACCTCTGTCCACCTCCGCCAGACTGTTCTTTGAATAGGGAAGATGGAGAAGCCCGTGACGCCCTGATGAGAAGCTGCCCACCCATGCTCTTGAGCAGAATGAGAGAAAACAATGCCAACCCAGGCCCTGAGGCAGCTATTCCCATGTGCAGGAGCTCTGCCCTGGAGCGGGTTTGGGAGTATCTAGCCATAGCGAGAGGATTCCTCACAGGAAAGAAAACTGGAGATGGGTTGAAACGGCCCCTCCTAACATGAAGTCCTGCCCTCCCTCTGCCAGTGCTGCCGCGTCGGCTCTGGAGCAGACCCTGGTGCTCTGTGTATGGTGGTGCACGATTCCCTAAGCAAACAGCACTTTACAAAAGAGAACCTTTATTTTGTAATATGTGTATCCAGTAGGATCGACACTTTAAAAAGTCTCATCTAGAAACCTTCCCTTCATTGCCCTGTTATCTCTTTTCCATCACTATAGGTCTAAAACCCTTTTGCCTTATCTACTCTAAAGAACATGACATCTACTCTGTGTCTGTAAGACAGACTCATGACTTTAAAACAGGACAGACAGGTGTGAACTTGATCCTAGCAGATCTCATGAGAATTCTTAGATGCCAACTGGCAAACACTTCCTATGGTTTTGAGCCTGTTTTATGACAGTTCACTGTCTGATAGGCTAGCCCCATATGTCTTTTTGTTCACACCGACAAGGAGGGGTTTCGGAGATCTAAATGGAAGGAAAGGAAGTGAGTAATCAAAACTTAATATTTGAAATTGCTTCTTTACAGTCGACCTCTAGCTGGTGCTTGCTGCCCACTGAGGAGGTAGATGTGTGCTGTTAGGCCTGGGTACGTGCTCTGCGTGTGTTCCTGGGTGCCCGCCCCCGCCACTGCTGCCTGGGGAGTTCTGAGTCAGGCCCAGGGCCAGGAAGAGGCAGGCTAGCTCTGGGCGGGATGGTGACCAGGTGTGAGCAGCAGACTACTGTGGTTCACTGTGGTCCAGGGTGCCACCGCTCCCCAGCCACCTATCCAGCCATCGCCTTAACTGGACCGAACAGACAGGATCTCTTGATCCGTTGTCATCAGGGATTATCTCCTGTACCATTTTCATGAGACAAAAACCAAAATCACTACCATCAAATGGCCTTTGTCCCTTTAAAAAGTCTGCCTACAATTCTGCTGGCGCTCGCTCTGAGGTGGTTCCTCCAGCTCCTGGTATCTGCAGAGCCTCCTGTGGATGCAGGGAGATGCCCGAGAGTGCTGCCCTCATCTCCCAGCTTTGATGCCTCGTCTTTTGTTGAAGCAAACACAAGATGATTTCTTGGCCTGTGGAGTAGAGCTGAAGGCCTTTAGTTTACTTCAGAGGCCAGGGGAGGTTGACGGGTCTCTGAGCTGTGGCAAGGGCTCGCGGGAGCAGGCTCTGTCCTGCTGCCTGCTCCACCTGGTGCCTGCCTCAGTGGGGTCACAGGTCCCGGTCTGTGAACCTGCACTGCCCTGGCCGTCCTCTGGTGACCCTGGAAATAGGTTGTCCTGCCATCTCAGTCTCCCAGGCCGCGTCCAGCCTGTGGCTGTGTTCACTGTACCCTGAAGTGCAATTACCTACACCCCTCAGCCTGAGGACACCAGGCAGCTATAGACAGTCCACTCAGGGGAGCTGGATCCCAGGTCAGCCCTACCATGTCCCTATGAACTGCCAGGCAGGGCCCTGGTTTTGCACACTTGTCCTTGCCAACCTGCAGTAGTGGACGAGTGTCAAGTGAAGACTGGGGTAACTTTTTCTATTAAAAAAATTTTTTTTAGGCTTTTGCTATAGGGTGCAAGCACTCGCAGATGAGAGATACAGAAAAGAAGTACAGAACAGAGAAAGTGAGAAATCAACCCCAAGGGGAGATGGTCATGCCCCAGCCCCTTCTTTTCCATTCTCGGCATTTTGGGCATGCACACACACATGCCTGATGTGATCTTTTCAAGTCACCAGGTCTAGGACTTGAACTGCAGTTGGTCATGTGGGAGTCCAGCACTTTAACCACTGCACCACCTGCTGGGCCCAAGACTGGAATAATTTAAAGTGTGACTTCTCAGCCCTATCCTCCCCAAGGGACTCCGTAGTGCTGAGCTTGAAGAGCACCAAGACTTCTTGTCAGGAGGAAAGTGTGCTTAAGTAGGGATGGTCCCCAGACAGCCATCCTCCCCCAAGCATGGCTTGCACCTCCTTATAGCAGAGGTGACATAGCCATGACTTGGTCACTCCCATGCCTTACCGGATTCTCACACGAAGCCCTCTCCCTAATTTCAGGAAGGCCTGACACCATCTCATCGCCTCTGCCACATTGTGGACGCTGTGTCCAGCCCTCCCAGCCCCTTCCTGGCATGGCGCAGCCTTTTCTGTTCTTGCAGGTCCTGGTACAGAGTCTTTGACCCATCAGTCCCCACCACTCACTGGAGAGGACCTTTTTTTGGAGCGCCCGCGGAAGGGGTGCTGTGCTGCCATCTAGTGGGCACTGGGTCCGCCAGCCTCCTGGAGTCTGTCCGCTTTCCAGAGCTGTTTTTGCAAGGCTGTCCTTTCCCGTTTCCTCTCATTTTGCACCCGGCTTTAGTGGGAGGGTGACACTCGGCTGACCCACACAGAAACCCCAGGTGAAGTCTCAGGGCCAAGAAGGCTAGTGCTTGGGGGTCAGGCATGGGGGTGAGGGGAACAAGCTGGGGGTGTGACAGACTAGCCAGATGAAACATGGCCTTGACCCCCACAAGCTGTAGTACCACTCGTGGACTTCTGACTTCGGCTGCCAACACTAATTTGGTTTATGTGCTTGAGCTTATTGCAAGGATTTCCTGGAAACTGTAGGAGGTCTCTTCCTACTCTGGCCCACTAATCTCTCTCCTTTGTGTGCTTGTGTGTGTGTGCTTCAGTCCCCTTTACGGTCATGTAGGCCTAGTTTCCAAACTGTGGGTGTGCCTTGTGGCCCGGGCAACTGGGCCTGTTGAGGAGTCTGGGTTAATGCCCACAGGGCCCAGGCCGCTACTGCGGCCCAAGCAGTGGGCTGTGAGGCTGGTGGGGGGCTGGAGCAGCGGGCCAGGCGCCACGACACTGTGGACGTGGCTGGGTGCAGATACGTATCTGGAACGCTTGCCCTTTGAACCTGTTGTGAGAGATGCAGATTCCATGTCTAGCCCAACAAAGACTGAGACAGGGAAGTAAAAGCCTCTGTCTTTGTCTTAGAAGTAATTGTTCAAGTCGTGCAGCTGATCAGTGCACATTTAGATGCAATGTTTATGGAAAGTTGATTGTTAATAAAACTCAAATTTACACTGGCATGTGTGGTGTAGTTTCTAAAAGGCACTTCACGTTTGCATTTTTCTTAGCAAGTTTCTAGTTACTAGATGTCTAGTTTTGTATCCTTTCACGTATGTTCACTGCTTCTCAGTATGACGTGACCAATTCTCTGTACGGGGGGATGCTGTGCTACACATGGGGTGTCCAATTGCAGCAATAAACCTTTCTTTAAAGAGGAGCTCTGCCCTGGGCATGTTTCCTGCGAGAACGCTGCGGACGCTGACGGGCACTCCAGCATCCAGAATCCCTTCCCAGGTGCCCCTGGCTCCCCACAC